AGAGATCCACCTGCCTCTGCCTCCCAAGTGCTGGGATTAAAGATGTGAGCCTAACCAGACTTCAATCAGTTGCTATTACAGGATTACTGGTCCCTAGCTACAGAGCCAGAGGCCAGCGAGTCCCAATTATACCTTGATGGTGATGGCCAACTTTGCCCAAAGGACTTGGACATCCTGATTTAATAGGAAATAGTCTAAAGATAACATCCCCCTCTTTCCTGTGTGTTGATGTCCTGGCTTCTTCCTCTGCCCCAGTCCTGGCCAACCTGGCCCTGTTCCTGCTCCTGACTCCTCTCTTTCTCTGCCCCAGTGGTTTCTCCTCAGCACCCACCTGTCACTCTGTGCTAGCCCTCTCCTGGGCCTGGGCCTTTTCCTTAGGAACCTTTCCTGGTCACAGGGCCTCTCTAATCCTCCGGCTTTCTCCCTGACCCAGGACTGCTCTTCTCCAGGCTGCCTTCCCTTGTCCAGGGATCCATCTTTGACAGGTGATCTCTCTTCATTGACAGCTCAAAGGCTGTCAAAGGCTGCATGGCTGCATCATGCATGTGTTAGGTAGCTGCATAAGGACTCTGCGTGCCAAAACCATGTGGAGCTGGGCCAGCAGCAGCTCCGTGACTCCAGTTTCAATGGCCCCATCTGCTGAGACTCATCCCAAACCGCTCCTGTTCCCTTTATAAGCAAGGGCCTCACACCTGTTCTCTCTCTTTCCATTTCTGCTCCTGATTGGTTAACACCCACCCCTCTGGGTTTGTTGAGTTTGGTGGATCGTGTTTCATCACCCGAAGCTGCAGTGAAGAACAACTCTGTGACCTGATTGTTCATCAATAATAAAAAATGGGGGGAATGTAAGCCCCTCAAGCCACACAAGCGGCCAGGCCCCTCCCCTGAGGACCTCCAACTGCCAGGTTCCACCCACAGAACACTCTAACTGCCCCCACAGCTGGACTTTGTCCCCACCCTACAGAGTAAAAAGCCCAATCTCTGGACTTGAAATCCCACCAATCTCCACCCTGGAAAACTTCACCCTGGAAAGTTCCACCCCCACCCCTCCCCAAGAACCTCTATACAATAAGCACCCCCCACCCCACCCCCACCCCCCACCCCACCCCCGCTTTCTGCTCAGTTCTCTGCTGTTCTCACTTGAGCAGAGGCAGCCACCTCTTGGTTCTTTCCTTCCCAACAAATCTCTTTCGTAAGGTTTGCTGTGTGACTTTGTGGTACTCCTGGACTCCTGGCTGCTGGGACACCTTTCCCTCTGAGCTGCAGAGCTTACAGCAGGGAGGTCAGGGCAGCTGGAAGCACACCTGGGAAGAGAATGAATGCAAGCTGCCTCCCCTCCCCCTGTTAGAAGAGTGGTTCTCAACCTGTGGGTCGGGACCCCTCTTCAGGGTCAAATGACCCTTTCACAGGGGTCACCTAAGACCATCAGAAAGCATACATATTTGCATGATGATTCATAACAGTAGCAAAATTACAGTTATGGAGTAGCAATAAAAATAATTTTTTAAACATTTTTTATTGATTATTTGAGAATTTCACATCATGTACCTCAATTCTGTTCATTTCCCAGTTCCTCCAATCTGTCCCTCACCCTGTATCATACCCCTCAAAAGAAAATTTTAAAAATATTAATTAAAAACAAAACATGACAAACAAAAACCACTTCGTTGATCCTCCATCTTTCCTGCCTCTCCAACACCTCTTTATTCATCTTAGTGGCATGGGGAGCTGCAGTGTGTCACACAGTGTACACTTTTGTCCACTCAGCTTTACTGTAAACTTCCATTGTGATGAGCTGTTGGTCAGGCTCAGGCCTCTGGCTTCTGGTACACCATCAATGCTGAACCCTTACCAGAACTCCTCCCTTTGCTCCAGTCACAGAGATCTCAAGGTCATGGTTCAAAAGGACCATGGCATGTAAGTGTGATCACACATTTGTCCTTTGGTGCCTGTATCTCCCAGGCCTGTTGTTTTGTTTGTTTGTGACAATGTAACACGAAAAATAAAAGATCTAGAGACTGATACTGGGGTTCCAGCTTCACGCTGAAGATCAGAGAAGCAAAGCAGCTAAGCCTCTACCTCTACCTCAGACTGAAAGGGCTGATCCTGTCTCTATAAACTCTCACCTAGCCTCAGACTGCTGCCTCCCCTCAGCGTGGCTGGAGAATCCTGAGACTGACTACTGAAGACCCTGTTCCTATCTTTTACACCTATCTAGTGCTGGGATTAAAGGCGTGAGCTGTTACTTTTTTGAGACTGATTCAGTTTTGCGTACCCTGGGTGGCCAGAACTCAGACAGATCCACCTGCCTTTGTCTCCGGAGTCCTAAAATTAAAGGTGTGTGTCTGGCTTCTATGACTAACTAGTATAGCTGCTTTGCTATTTTTATCTTCAGTGGCTTTAATAAATCGTAAACAATATATTACCACAAGACAAGGTCTCACTCCACGGTCCAGGCTGGCCTCAAACTTCTAATCTTAGGATTACAGTTTGGGGTCAGAAGCCATGTTCAATTGTTTGAGAAACACTCATCATTTTCTACAATAGCTGCATCATTTTATACTCCATGAGCAATACACACGAATTCCAATTTGGGGGCTTACGGGCCAGTTATCTTCAGAGAAGTTTATATTAAAATCACTTGTCCATTTTTTCAATAAAGTTTTGTTTCCTATTATTGAGATGTAGGGGATTTTTGCATATTGTCAACCCTTTACAGTTTGTAAGCATTTCCCCCATTTCAAGCACTGCCTGTTGAGGGTGCTTTCTGATGGTCTGTCTCCATTTAAAGAGACTGGGCAGTGGTGGTGCATGTCTTTAACTCCAGCACTCGGGAGGCAGAGACAGGTGGATCTCTGTGAAGTTGAGGCCAGCCTGGTCTACAGAGTGAGTTCCAAGAAAGCCAGGGTTTTACACACACACACACACACACACACACACACACACACACACACACACACACAAAGGAAGTAACTCCTCAGGACCATCCAAAGAATGAAATCCTTTAACTCATGTATGTGTGACGGCGGCTCTGGCAACACTCTCTAGTGAACTGGAGAATACCCTAGAAGTAAAAGAACAGGAAAACCTGGCTAGTCACACCCAGTTCCTCTCTGCACTTTCCCATATGTTAGCAAAATACTAGGGTTGTACAATGAGAACCTGGTCATAGTGGGCATAGGGCTGGTGTCATGCAGTCCTGTAAATAGGGGGCTCTATGGAGTAGAGATGATCTGTTAGGACAGGGACGACATTTGTAACATTTATTCTGTGCCAGGGACTGTTCTAAGCAACTCTAAACCCACAAAATGGTCTATTACATCGACAATATATGTATTCTTTAAAAGAAATACTTTTAGAGTTGGGTAGTGGTGGTTAATCCCTACACCTGGGAGGCAGAGGCAGGTAGATCTCTGTGAATTGAGGGCCAGCCTGATCTACAGAGCTAGTTCCAGGCTTGGAAAAACCCTGTCTCAAAATACCAAAATAATTTTTTTATTAGACAAAATTTTACTATGCAATGCTTCACCTATATAGAGTGGTCTTGAAGTTATAGCTATCTTCCTGCCTCAGCCTCTCAAGTGCTAGGATTACAAGTGTAAACCACCACACCTGGCCAGTATTCCCACTTAGGAAAATAGGCAAAGAGAGGTTCCATAGTGTGTCCAAAATCACAGACTAGCAGGTACAGAAAGGAGCTCTGCCCACAGGTTCTAGTGGCCTCTTTATTGATCATTCTGTGACACAATGCAAGCTCTGTAACCTGACAGGTTTGACTCTGACCACAAATGAGTAGTGAGTACCTGAGAACAGTCCCTTAGTAACCAGAAATACTCCAACTGAAATAAAGATTCCATTACACACTCTGTGCCATGAGAGTTGGACAATACCAGTCCAGGGTGGCTTCGGGGAAACAGAACCCATACCGGGGGCCTCCTGGGACCCCAGACCTCCCTGAGGCATCACATGCAGTTAACTGTTGATGGGAAAAGAACAGATATCTTCAATGGTGAAGGACAGGTAAAGTGTCCATGCTCCAGTAAATGACCTTTATGAAACTCTGGGTCACACTCCAGAAAGTGGAGTGGACATAGAGCCAGTTAAGAAGATGAAGGGAGCTAGAGCGGCATCAGCAGGAGTTGGGGGAGGGCAGGAGGAACAAAACGGGGAGGGGATATATGTTCCAAGTACATTATACATGTGTATGAAAATGTCTACAATAGGTCGGGCGTTGGTGGCACATACCTTTACTCCCAGCACTCGGGAGGCAGAGGCAGGTGGATCTCTGTGAGTTCAAGGTCAGCCTGGTCTACAGAGTGAGTTCCAGGACAGCCAAGTCTACATGGTAAGACCCTCCATCCAAACAAAACCACAAAATCCTTCATAGAGCTATGGGTGACAGTGTGGAGTGTTGTGGCTACTTCAGGAGTAAGCTGGCAATTCTTCATCAAACTAGATACAAGTATGGCTTGGGATGACCGGGTAACATTGCTTCTGGGTATACAGCCTAGAGATTCTTATGTGTTTCCAGAGGATTCTAGAGCTCTTCAAGCAGACACATGAATTTAGTCTCACGACTAGTAAATGCTCCGCCTGGCTCCAGCAGCACTGTTACTCTGGCTCCTGGGGTTCTTAGAAGCATGTCTCTGTGAAGAGCCTAGAGTGAAGTCCCTGTGCCTGGGAAGAGTCCCCATGGGGCTTCAGGATGCATGAACTGCACATGAGACATCCAACGTCAGAGTAGAGGCCTGTCCCATTTCCTGCTCCAGCACACACAATATGCCTGGAAGAGGTAGCATGTGGGTACAGTTACATTGCAGAGGGGGGAATGGGAGGAAGCCTGGCTCTGGCTTTAAATATTAATGACTCTGCCACTTGCTCTTTTACCTTGACTCAGTCCCTCTGAGCCTCCTTTTTTCCCATCTGTAAAATGGGCAGGAAAATACCTACTCTATAAGGTGGCTGTGAGGTCAGAATGTAAGTTTTAAAAATTGACCCAATTTAAAAACAAACAAAAAAAAAATGTTTATTAAGTAAACATACTGTGGTACATGGCTATTGCAAAACATGACAAGGAGGATATGCAAATGAATGAAATTCAGAACATACTGTATTAGCATAGAAACATAGAGAAGGCTGTTTGATGGAAGGTACAAGACACCCATTTTAATGAGATTAAGGAGTCCTGCTGAGAGAGAGAGCATGAGCATACCTCCCTGAACTCAAGGGAAAGCTTGCAGGAATGCACTCTGGCCCTGGGAGGCTGTGTCTTCTCTCTCCAGGCTCTGTGGGCCCAGAGCACTTTGGAAAACCTGTGCCTCCAAAGTTATTTACATTACAATTTGTAACAGTAGCGAAATTATAGTTACAAAGTAGCAACAAAAATTATTTCCTGCTTCGGAGTCACTGCTGTGGTGTTAGTGGTTATTCTCTTGCCTTTGTTTTGCCTGTTACATCTCTTTCTTTGAAAAGCCATTTGCCTACCCAGATGACCACTCACCAGCCCACTCACTTTACTCAGACATGGCCATGGCTCTGGAGTTTAAATGATGTCAGTAGAGGTCTGCAAAGTCCTGAAGGCATCCCAAATCCAGATGTCCAACTCTCACCCCTTCACTTCCTATCAGGGGATTTCGAGGAGGATCAGGGATGAGTAGCCAAGAAGTCAGCTGAGTATGCCCTGCTCATACCGGCCTTGAGGTAGGTTGTACCTCCCAGCTAATGACACCAAGAGGTAGAAAATCTAATTCTCACTTTCTAGTCAGCACCCAGCACAGGGGAGACTTGAACCTGAGTTTGGAAGATGCCAAAGTTCAAGTATGTCGCTTTAGCTACCTGGTCCACCTTCCGCTAGGTACAGCCCATAGCCATCACCCCAAACCCAAGCAGGTTACAGGCCTATTGGAACAAACCCAGGCTCAGCTGGCAGACAGGAGTCAGCTGACCCAACTTCAAGGGGACACTGGCTGGAAGGAAAGACTTTAACTTTATTTTTTAAGGAGCACAAGGCTCAGGAAATCAAGAAAAGTTCCTCAGAGTCCTGAGTCTGAGGTTTCTAGACACTGCTCAAAGGGCAGAAGAAGACCTTACTTGTATGTAATAGCTCATGAATTTTTTAGTTTTTCTTTTTCTTTTTCGAGACAGGGTTTCTCTGTATTGCTTTGAAACCTGTCCTGGAACTAACTCTGTAGACCATGCTGGCTTCGAACTCACAGAGATCCTCTGCCTCCCAAGTGCTGGGACTAAAGGCATGTGCCACCAATGCCTGGCCATAGTTCATGAATTTTGAATCTAAAACACCCCGCATCTCCATGGGTCCTGTCTGTTTTGCTTTGTTGTATTGATTTAGTACGTTTATTTATGTGGGGGGGGAGGGCAGGCGGGGCATGTGTGTGCCACAGCGTGCATGAAGAAGAGAAGTTACAGAAGTCTGTTCTCTTTTCACCGTGTGGGTTCCGGGATCAAACCCTGATCATCCGTGTTAGCAGCAACTGCCTTTACCTAATCTCACTGGCCCAGGGCCATGTTCTGTGTGTTGATTCTCCCACTAACCGTGTTATTTCGGGAGACCACAGAACTGTTAGGAGGTAGGACCTGGCTATAGAAGTAGATGGCTCAGGATTGTACCCCACCCCGGGTTTAAAGTGCTCTCTCATTTCCTGGCTCATTGCCACATGAACAACCTCTGCCTCTTGTTTCTGCCGCCATAGTCTGAGCTGCCCTACTGTGCCTTCGTTGCCATGATGGACTGAAGCCTTCTGAAACTGAGAGCCAAATAAATCTCTCCTTCCTTCAGCTGTTTCTGACAGGGAGGCTGGGCACAGTGAGTGAATGTGACACTCCCTGTGCGGGTGTCCAGAGGTCATCAAAAGCTGCAGCTGCCTGCCACAAGTTGGGAAGTAGACATTGCAGTGTCCTGAGGGAGCCCTGTCTTTTCCAGTCTCTCAGCATGCTCTGAGGCCTGGGCAGAAACTTAGCTGCCTCGGGACACACACTCCCACCCTAGCTTCTGACCAGCTTTTGTGTTATGAGTCTGGTTACATTTGAGTTATTGGGTCAGTCAAATACTTCCGCCAAACCACGGCTCTAGGAAATGTCACAAAGACCTTGTACCTGTGGGTAGGGAAAGGAGGGCACCATCCTAAACCCAACTGTTCACCTGGCAAAAGTCTTCCACAGGACCCAGTGAAGAGTCCTTTCCCCTGCCTGTAGCTCCCAGAAGTGACTGCCCAATTCTTAAGGCTGCAGCCCTAGTTGGATGAACTGGATGGCTCAGAGTCTAAGTCCAAAGTTTGGCCCTAGCTACCATGTCAGATTCTAAAGCTTTGGATGAGCCCACCAACCACACTTGCTAGTTATTACCCCAAGGATGGGTGAAAAGGAACATTCAAGTTCGGTATTTTCCAACAAGCTGCCAGTGCCGTCACTCCTGTGTCCGTGAGAACGTAACTGGCACACTTAATAGTCCACCAGGGTCCCAAGAGGGGTTGGCCTCAATCAGAAACCTCTCACCTCCCAGCTCAGTGTATGAGGTCCTCGGGAGAGGAGACTCCGGGACTGACCTTACTAAGACAGAGATTAATGTTTTAGTGACATGACAGGAGTCTGGTCAGCAGGCACTATCACCTCGGTGCCCGTGTCAGTAGTGGCCCTGGAGCACTTCCGGCTACTGCGCATGCTGTAAAACTTTTCGCTGAGGTGCTTTCGGAACTTCTTGGTAAGAAAACAGTAGATAACAGGGTCTAAGACACAGTTGGTGCTGAGGAGGCAGAGGGTGATCTGATGGGCATCATTAATCGCCTGATGGAAGTTGGTCTGATAGCCCAATTCTGCTAGAGTCCAGGGCAGCTGGACTATGTGATGGGGCACAAAGCAAATGACAAACACCGCCAGGACGGTGCAGACCATCCACAGAGCCCTGCGCTTCACTTCTGGTTTGCGCTGCTGCCGCACGGGCCTCGTGAGCAGTGTGTGGATGATGACCAGGTTGCAGTAGAGGATAAGAAAGAAGACAAGGAAGAAACAGAATGCGATGAAGACATGAACAACAAGGATTGGCACACTGCGTGGCTCGTAATGTTCAAAGCAGCGAGTGATGTTGCCCGAGCCATCCTTTTTGCGTACTAGGTTGGTGGAGTCTGTGGCCAGGAAGTAGGATGCAGTAGCCACAATGGATATCCAGATGACCAAGGACAAAGAGATGCCACGCTTGCGGGTGGTGGCCTGAGCAGTCTTGATTGGGTAGGCCACTGCCTGGTAGCGGTTGTAAGTGATGACACCCAGGAAGGCCACACTACAGTAGGTATTGATGAAGAAGAGGCAACCAGCCACGTTGCACAGGAATTTGGGTAGAATCCAGTTGCCCTCATTGTAATAGTAGACAATCCACAGCGGGAGGGTGATCAAGAAGAGCAGGTCGGCAACAGTGAGATTCACCATGAAGATCTTTATCTCGTTTAGCTTCTTCGAAGGGTACAGGCGGGCAAAGACCCATAGCACATAGCTATTGGCAACCACCCCCAGAATAAAGATGACACTGTAAACAGTCGGAAAGAGGGTGTATCGAAATTCAGAATCCACGCGAGAGGATTTGTTTTGCTCCATTGCTCTGGGCGGAAGGGTCACCTGATCATGGAGTGCAGTGTGTGCCTGGAAGAATATGCAAAGACTCTGTTTCATAAAGAACCAGTAAGAGACTCCCTTACCTCAACAATTTCAAGCCTCCTTGCTACAGTTTGAATGTTGGAATCCTCTCTAGAATTCATGCTGATTTTTTTAAATATTTATTTATTTTATGCACACCAAAAGAGGGAATCAGATCCTACTATTGGTGGTTGTAAGCTACCACATAATTACTGGGAATGAACTCCCGACTCCTGGAAGAGCAGCCAGTGCTCTTAACCACTGAGCCATCTCTCCAGCCCCAACATTGGGACTTAATCCCAGGGATTAAGAGAGAGGTGATGAAGGCAGAGCCTGCATAAATAAGGTTAGCAGCCTATGAGATGATTCAGTGGATAGAGGCACCTGGCACCAAGTCTGGTGGCTTGGTTGGATCCACAGGCCCTACGTGGAGAAAGTAGAGAACTGAGTTGTACTAGTTGTCACCTGACCTCTGTGTATGTACACCTGTGTGTGTGTGATGTACATACATAGTGTAACTCTAGTTCCAGGGGATCTGATGCCCTCTTTGGACCTCCACCGGGCACACACATGGTGCCCAGACGTGCAGACAAGCACTCATATGCATAAAATAAGTAAAATAAAAAGAGACTTCGTAAAAATTCAGATTGCAGAAAGTTTTATGACAGGCATTGTGGTGCACACCTGTAATGAAATTCACTTGACAGGCAGAGGCAGGAAGATCACCATGGCTCTGAAGCCATCCTGGTTTACAAAGGGAATTTTAGGACAACCTAAGTTATATAATAAGAATTTTTTTTTTCAAGACAGGATTTCTCTGTGGCTTTGGAGGCTGTCCTGGAACTAGCTCTGTAGACCAGGCTGGCCTCCAACTCACAGAAATCCACCTGCCTCTGCCTCCTGAGTGCTGGGATTAAAGGCTTGTGCCACCAATATCCGGCAAATGAGAATTTTTAAAAATCCATTCAACAGATGCAGGGCTATAACACAGTGATCTCTTGCTCAGCATGCATGTGGTCGAGGGTTAGACCTACACTCTTACTCCACCCAAAACCCAACAAACCAAAACTATAAACATCCTGCAAAATGACTGACCAGTGCCTACGCAAAGTGTCAAAGTCACAAAAAACAAAGAAAAACTGAGGAACTGTCAGAGATTATAGGAGACTAAACATCCATATGGCAGGCATGATGACTCACATATGTAACCCCAGCAATTGGGAAGCTGGGGCAAGAGGATTAAGTGAATATCAGGCAGCCTGGGCTACATAGGGAGCCGGATTAGCCAACCTACAGCATCGAACTCTGTCTCAAAACACAAAGAGATCACACAAACGTGCACCTAAGTGCGCGCGCGCGCGCGCGCACACACACACACACACACACACACACACACACAGAGGGGGAGAGAGAGACTAAATACAATGTAGAGTCCTGGATTTTATCTTGGAACTAGAGGGGAAAAAAATCCGATAAACTTCAAATAGCATCCATAGCTTAGTTACTAATGTTGCCTCAACATGAACTTCCTGGGGCTGGGAGGGAGCTCTTGCTCTGACATGTGATACCCTGGTTCTAACTCCAGAACTGAAAACATTGGTTCTCTGTTTTGACAACTGTATTCTAGAACTGTAATATTATGGGAGATTGGGGGAAGAAAAGAATGAATTCTAATCATACTATTTTACAACTTCATTTAAAAAAAAAAGTCTTGATGTTAGCTGGGCAGCTGTATGTGGTGGCACAGGTTTGTAATTCCAGCACTTGGGAGGCTGAGGCAGGAGGATCAAAGTTCAATGTCATCCTCAGGTACACAGTGAGTTAGAAACCAGCCTGAGATACATGAGACCCTGTCTCAAATCCTGCTCCCTCCAAAAAGTATCCTGAAGTTATTTCAAAACAAAAGTCAAGGTGCATTAAAGATTAAAGCTAAAGCCAGGCATGGTGGCACACGCTTTTAACCCTAGCACTAAGGAGGCAGATCTCTGTGAATTGAAGGCCAGTGAGTCTGCTTCAAAAAGATGAAAACAATCCATTTCCATTATCCTACTCCTTAAATCCTACACCATAGTTCCTCCCACTATCCACTCTCCTTCAAGGCCATGTCTCTCCCTTTATCCTATAAAACAGGGGTATAAAGTGGATGTGACTTAGCCAACATCACACTTCTATTACACAGTGGAGTCAGGGGGTACTGCTCTTACAGATGACTTGAATTCAGTTCCCAACACCCATGTTGGGTGACCCACAAGTGCCTGTGACTCTATTCAGGGGTACTTGCACTCATGTGCAGATAAACACATAGATAACACACACAGACACACATACACACACACACACACACACACTACATATTTATAGAAAAAAAAATGTGGTCAGGATCTCAAATCCATTTGTCCCCCCATCCATCCATCCATCCATCCATCCATCCAGCCAGCCAGCCAGCAAACACCTCAGCACCGACTCACATCGTGCATACTGAAGAGCACAGCAAACAGCTTTGCCTTCAGGGGATTTATCTTCTCCTGAGGGAGAACAGCTGAAGGAATTCAGACAAAGCTGCCCCACAAAGAATAAATGGGGTGCTGAAAGGAAGGACAAAGAGAGATCTGGGCAAACAGGTGGCATTTCTGTAAACGCCTAGACCAGGAAGGAAGATGGTGCAAACATTCCGGGCAGAGGTGTGCATGGTGCCAGGACTGAAAGAAGCCACCACATGACCCTTGCCTTGACCTCCAGCTCTCACTGCCACTCTGCTTGCACCCTGGGCCACCTTCCCACCAGTCTTCACCTGGAGTGACTTCCCTTGAAGGATTTCAGCCCTGTGTAGACCTCATAGTTCCAAAATACTCAACCTGCTGCCTTGAAGGCTCTCTCTCTCTCTCTCTCCCTTTCTCTCATTCCCTCCCTCTCCCTTCCTTTCCTCCTTCCCTCTCTCCCTCTCTTTCTACCTTCCTTCCCACCCTCCTTCTGAATGCTGATAAAACCCAAGGCCTAGGCAAGGGCTCTACCTTGAAGCTACATATTCTGATTTGTTCTCCCAACTTGACAGAGCCTAGAGTCCTCTGAGAGGAGAGCTTCCACTGAGAAACTACCTAGTTGGCTTGTGGGGTATGCCTATGGGAGATTGTCTCAATTGATAATTGATGTAGAAAAGCCCAGCCCACTGTGAGTGATGCCATCCCCTAGGCAGATGATCCTGAACTTCATAAATAGCCAAATAGCCAGCAAGCAGCATCCTCTGTAGTTCCTGCTGTACTTCTTAGAGTGTGAAGTGAGTTCCTTAGTTGGAGGTAAGTCTGGTGACAGACTAGAGTAGGCTAAGTAAATCCATTCCTCTTCTACATTGTTTTTGGTCAGAATTTATTTTTGTTTTTTCTACACATGGTTTCTCTGTGTAGCCCCAGCTCTCCTGAAACTCACTCTGAAGAGCAGGTTAATATTGAACTCAAAGGTCCTCCTGCCTCTACTTCCCTAGTGCTGGGATAAAAGGTGTGTGCCACCATTGCCTGGCGTGGTCAGAGTGTTTACCAAAGCATCAGAAAGCAAACTAGAACAATCCCATTCCTCCATTCCTTTCACTTGGCCAATTTCAACTCATGATTCAGACATCATCTCAATTTCAGTTCCTCGTGGAGGCTGAGCCACCTGTGAGAACCAGAAACTGTCTCTTCAACTTTTTTCCCAGTAACAAAAACTAATGCACAGGAATGGATGAGAAACCTTGTTAATGACATCCATCCTGAAGGAGCCTTCTGCAGGGAAAATACATTAAAGAGGCTAAATATAAGAATATTTAAAGAAATAAGCAGATGTCACTGAATTTTGTAGACAACATTTTTTATACCTTTGTTCCATTTAGCAGGACAGTAATTTATGTGTCAAGTCCATAGTTCTCATAATTCCTGATAAATGACAATTTCTCTAACATTTTAAAAAAATCCACCCTGAGTCACACTATGAATTATATTGCTAATATGACAATATTTTTGTTGAAGATTTATCTTTGATTTCTTCCTTCCCTGCTTCCTTCCTTCCTCCCTTCCTTCCTTCCTTTCTTTCTTTTTTTAAGACAGAGTTTCTCTGTGTAGCCTTAGGTATCCTGGAACTGTAGACCAGGCTAGCCTTGAACTCATAGAGATCCACCTGCTTCCACCTCCAGGGTGCTGGAATTAAAAATGTGCACCACCACTTCCCAGCTAGGATTTTTATAGTAATACTAAAACATTGCTTTTCTTTTCATTATTCTTGTTCCATAGCACTTTCTAGGCTCAAATTCACTAAATAGCCCAGGCTGGCTGTACAATGGTGACACACGCCTTTAAGGCAGGTGGATGTCTGTGAGTCTGAGGCCAGCCTGATCTACAAAATGAGTTCTAGGACTAGGACAGCCAGGGCTACACAGAGAAATGCTGTCTCAAAAAAACAACAACAACAAAAAAGCAGATTGGCCTTGAACTCATGACACTCTAAAGAATAGTCTTTCACACTGTGATTGGGTTAATAAGGTGACTGGCCAATAGCTAGACAGGTTAGGAAAGGTTAGGAAAGACTGCCAAACAAGAAGAGCTTGAAGAAGAGGAGGAGTCTTGGGAGTCTCGAGGAGATGGAGAGGAAATGGAAGATGAATTTGCCATACTGAGAAAAGGTACCAAGACCCATGGCAGAGCAAAGATAAGGAACATGGGTTAATATAAAATGTAAGAGTTAGTGGACTGGAGAGATAGCCCAGGAGTTAAGGGCACTGGTTGCTCTTGCAGAGGATCAGGGTTCAGTGACCAGCTGTCTGTACATCCAATTCCAGGGGATTATGCATCCTCACACAGACATATATGCAGTAAAACCCCAATGCATTTAAATAAATAAATCTTAAAGAGAGAGAAAGAGAGAGTAACAAGCCCGAGCTGTTGACCGAGCATTTATAATTAATAGTAAGTCTCTGTGTGGTTATTTGAGAACTGGCTGGCAGGACAGAAAAGTCTGCCTTCAACACTCTTCCTGCCTCA